GATTATCTTCTGTGTCTGTGTTAATTGGTTTCCCTTTTCTTTGTTGAAGGGGGTCTGTGCAGTCCTTCTGCCTAGTCCGCCATCTTGCCGGAACTGATGTTGACTTGTTCAAAATTTATACTTCTTAATCCTTGGGTTTAGTTTTTCATTTGATTTTGTGTATTTGTCATTCTTCTAAACCACAGATAGGGCAAAATATTGCTATGCCCTAATAAGAAATGTTGCATGTTTGCTGCATCCACATGGATCATGTTATTAGACTACTTAACCTTCATGTTATTTAGCACTTTCTTTTATGCATCAGTTGGCAGTATTTCAAAAATGGAAGCATGCTTTCCAGTGGCCTGCATACTAAATATTTACAGAATCTTCAGACAGAAACATGAATTTTTAGACAATATGGAAGGTTTCTGATTTGCTAACTAAATATTGTGAATACTTTAGATGTGTAATTTCACTTTACATTTCTCGAAACTAATGGCTATTCTTGAACATGATGTATTTTTTTAACAGAAATATTAAAATAAATTGTTGTTGTTAGGTGCTGTTGAGTCTTTTCCAACTCAGCAACTATGTATAACAGAACAAAACACTGCCGACTCCTGTGCCATCCTCCCAGTCATCTGTATGTTTCAACCCATTGTTGCAGCCACTGTGTCAATCCACCCGTTGAGGATCTTCCCCCCTTTTCACTGACCCTCTCCTTTACCAAGCATGTTTTCCTTCTGCAGCGACTGGTCCCTCCTGATAACTTGTCCAAAGTACATGAGAGGAATGCTTGCCATCCTTGCTTCAAAGGAGCAATTCTGGCTGTATGTCTTCCAAGACACATCTTTTCATTCTTCTGGCAGTCAATATTCTTGGCCAACATCATAATTCAAATGTGTCAGTTCCTCTTCAATCTTTCTTATTTTTTGTCCTACTTTTACGTGCTTAAGAGGCAACTGAAAATACCATGGTTTGGATCAGGTATACCTTAGTTCTCAAAGTTACATCTTTGCTTTTTAACACTTTAACAATGTCTTTTGCAGCAGTTTTCCCCAATACAATATACATTTGATTTCTTGACTGCTGCTTCCATGGGCTTTCATTATGGATTTGAGTAAAATGAAATCCTTGACAGCTTCATTGTTTCCTCCATGTATCATGATGTTTCTTTTTGGTCCAGTTGTGAGAATTTTCGTTTTCTTTATGTTGTGATATAATCCATAATGAAGACTATAGTTTTTGATCTTCATCAGTAAGTGCTTCAAGTCCTCTTCTCTTTCAGCAAGCAAGATTGCTGTGATCTGCGTATTGCAGGTTGTTAATGAGTCTTCCTCTATTCATGATGTCCTTTCTTCTTCATATATTCCACCTACTTGGATTATTTGCTCAGCATACAGACTAAATAAATACAGTGAAAGGATACAACCCTAATGTTCATTTTTCCTGATTTTGAACCCTTGTTCTGTCAAATGACTGCTGGTTGGTCTAGTACAGGTTCTGCAAGAGCACAATGAAGTGTTTTGGAATTCCCATTCTTTGCAATGTTATCCATGATTTGTTATGATTCACACAGTGGAATGCCTTTGCACAGTTAATAAAGCACAGGTAAACATCTTTCTGGTATTCTCTGCTTTCAGCCAAGATCCATCTGACATCAGGAATGATATTCCACATTCTCTTGTGAATCCGGCTGAATTTCTGGCAGCTCCCTGCACTGTACTGCTGCTTTTTGAATTAACTTAAGCAGAATTTTGCTTGTGTGTGATATTGATATTGTTTAATATTTTCCACATTGTGTTGGGTCACCTTTCTTTGAATGAACATTAATAAAGATCTCTTCCAGTCAATTGCCAGGTAACCGTCTTCCAGATTTCTTGCCATAGACAAGTGAGCATTTCCAATATTACATCTGTTTGTTGAAACATGTCAGTGGGTTTTCCTTCGGTTCCAGGAGGCTTTTTTCGCCAATGCCCTCAGTGTAAATTGGATTTCTTCCTTTACTACCATCAGTTCTTGATCTTATGCTACGTCTTGAAATGGCTGAATGTCAACCAGGTCTTTCTGGTACAGTGTGTATTCCTTCTACCTTTTTTTGATGCTTCCTGTGGCATTTAATATTTTTCCCATAAAAAAAGAAAAAGACCAAACCCATTGCCTTTGAGTCAATTCTGACTCATAGCAGCTCAATAAGCCAAAACCAAACCAAACTCACTGCCATCGATTCTGACTCATAACAACCCCCATTGGGTTTCCAAAGCCGTAAATCTTTACAGAAGTAGATTGCCCCATCTTCCTTACATGGAATGGCTGAGGACAGAGTAAAACTGCCATGGGGTTTCCAAGGCTGTAAATCTTTATGAAAGCAGACTGCCTCGTCTTTCTCCCATGTAGCAGCTGGTGCATTTGAACCACTGACTTTTTGGTTAGCAGCCAAATGCTTTAAAGACTATACCACCAGAATCCTTCAGTTCTCTAGATTGAGGCTTGAATTTTTTTCTTCAGTTCTTTCAGCTTGAGAAATGCCAACTGTGTTTGGTTTTCTAACTCTAGGTCTTTGTTTGTGTCATTTTAATACTTTACTTTGTCATCTTGAGCCACCTTTTGAAAACTTCAGTTCAGGTCTTTCATTATTTTCTTCCATTCTCTTTAGCTTCTCTGTGTTCAGGAGCAACTTTCCGAGTTTCTTCTGACATCCACTTTAGTCTTTTCTTTCTTTCTTTTTTTTTTTTAATTTTCCTAACGATCTTTTGCTTTCTTCATGGATGATGTCCTTGTTTTCATCCCATAACTCATCTCTTCTTTGGTCATTGATATTCAGTGCATCCAATCTACTCGTGAGAGGGTCTCTAAATCCAAATGGAATATACTCAAGGTTGTATTCTAGCTCTCATGTACTTGTTTTTAATTTTCTTCAATTTGAAATTTCCTATGAGCAGTTGATAGTTGGTTCCTGGCCTTGTTCTTAGTGGTGATATTGAGCTTCTCCATTGTGATTTCCACATATGTAGTAGATTCCTGTGTGTTCCATTTGGTAAATCCCACATGTATAGTTGCCATTCATGTTGTTGAAGAAAGGTATTTGTAATAAATAAGTCGTTGGCTTGCAAAATTCTATCTTGCGATCTCTGGCATCATTTTTATCAATAAGGTCATGTTCTCCACTACTGATCCTTCTTTTCTGTTTCCAAGTTTTGCATTCTAATCACCAGTAATTATCAATACATCTTGATTGTATGTTTGATCAATTTCAGACTGCAGAAGTTGGCAAAAAAGAAAATCTTCACTTTCTTCATCTTTGGTCATATAAACTGGTCTTTCTTATAGGCGTATGGATATTACCCTATTGCCAATAGTGTCGTGCTTCAGCATAGATCTTGAAATGTTTTTTACAATGAGTGTGACACCATTCCTCTTCAATTTATCTTTCCTTGCATAATAGACCATATAATTCAAAATGGCCAAACCACTAGATTTCAGCCTAGCTAATGTCTAGCACTCATACATAACAATAATTATGAGTATGGTACAGTACTGGGAATTATTTTTTTCTGTTGTACATGAGGTGGCTATGCGTTGGAACTGACTTGAGGGCACATAACAAAACAGTAATGCCCATGATATCAATCTTTATATATTCCATTAATTTTTTAACAACTTCTAATTTTCCTAGGTTCACATTTTGTACATTCCATGTTCCAAAAATATTAATAGATGTTTCCAGCTGTTTCATTTTGAGTCCTGCCACATCAGCAAATGAAAGTCCTGAAAGCTTTACTCCATCCATGTCATTAAAGTCAACTTTACTTTGAGGAGGCAGTAGTAGTCATATTTTGAGTGCCTTCCAACCTGAGGGGCTCATCTTCTGGTACTCTATCAGGTAATACTCGCTCCTATTTTCATGAGGCTTTTATTGGCCAGTTTTTTTAGAAGTAGATTGACAGGTCATCCTTCCTAGTTTTTCTTAGTCTGTAAGCTCTGCTGCTGTTCTCCTGGGTGACCCTGCTGGCATTTGAAATAGCAGTGGCATAGCTTCCAGCATGACAGGAACATGCACGCTACTACAGTAGGACAAACTGACAAATGGGTGGTGGAAAAATAAATTACAAAGATGTAAATATCTGAAAAAATATAAGTAAACCTTTAAATATAACATGTAATTGTGTATAAGGGTAAATTGAAGTCAGAGGAACATTTTACCATATTACTTAACATGGAACAATTTTGAAGAAATTAATAAATATTAATGTTTAAAAAAATTCCCCAAGTTTGAGTGAAAATTATTAGATTTATTTAATAAAATTTAGAAGTAGTCATCTGAGTATTCTTTTCATTATCACCAAAGGGATATCCTAGATTAGGAAATGGGAATAAATGGATTAATTTTAAAGGTTCTATTTTAAAATATATATACATATATGTATATTCTATTGTCTTTGTAGCTATTATTGCCAAATAATATCTATATTTCTATGTGTGTTTCTACAGTTCTAGGCATAAATAACATGCATTTCTTATTGGTTGGATCTTATGAACTAAGGACCATAGTTTATAGTTTACCCATGGTTTTTATATCCGTTTTCCCCTCTTACTGGGTTAATATTGTGTAACTTCAGAAAAATACTAATAAAAAATTTCTACATTTTTGTGATTTTGTAGAAAATAGCCAGTTATTTGGAGATTGTGTTTGGAAACTGGCATCGAATGGTTGTGTTATACAATTTTGATCCTACTTAGAATTAGTGTCGCAATGAGTAGCAGTTACAATTTTGATTTTGTCTTTGAAATATTTTCCTTTTATTTATACTTAGGCTCTTTATCTTATAACGTAATGACAGGAAATAAGTATCACTACTGAGATGCTACATTTAATAACTAAAATATTTCCCAGCTTTCAGCTTACATGGAGAAGTTGAGGAAACCACCTATGAATCCATTTACTGAATTCACGGAGAAGCCTACAAATGATGGAAGTCATTCAGAAGAATTATTTTCACATATTAAAAGTAGATCAGAGAGAGAACACCTGCCACGACATGCCAGTGAAAGTCATCTCAGCTGGTATTCTCATCAAAAGCTGGGGGAATATAATATTCTGAGTTCAGGTTTTAATTTTGTCTGTAATGTAAATTATTTGAATCAAATATGTCCTTCTTTCAGGAATATCTTCTTCAAACTTAGTATTCAAATATTTTTCAAACCTACTATTGCAAATTTACTCATTTAGCACAATTTGGCTAGTTTTTTGGAGTCTTAGGAAAAAGAATTACAAATGGGAACCTTCTCTATTAAGAATTTGTAAAGTAAAGTTATTTTGCTAAGGTAAATGAAAATATAAATACTATAGAATACCAGAAATGTAGTTAATGTATACTAATTCATTATTCTTTGGTATATTGCTATATAACACATACCTGTGATATTTTGGTTCTTTAGAATGGGGAATATACATGATATTTATATGAGTCATTGCCCCCTAAAATGATGATCTTTATATAGCATTATTGTCACTAGAGATAGTGTAGTCCTTAAACTTGTTCTAAGTAAGAACCATATTTTACCACATGTGATTATACTTGACTTTCTGGCTACAGTTTTTAATAATGGACAAGTGTAATTTATAACCAGCATCTTGCTAAGCTACCATGTTCAGCCAGTGGTGCTTTAAGAATACAATCTACCTTTGACATCGCCTCTAAAATACCATCAGTTGAAGATAAGCCATTAGATTACGTTCCATAATAGAAAGAAAGAAAGGAAAAGCTGCAAAGCAAAGACAGTGCTTTCTTACAATTGGAATTTTATTTATTCATATTGAAGAAGATCATTCAACCTTTGACACAGATTTTTAATCCAAATAACTCTTAAATAAAAGTAAAGCATAAGTGAAATAAATTAGTTAAGGTATTCCCCAAACTTCTTTATATTCAAAGTCTAACTCTTCTGAGCCTGTTTTTCACTCAGAGTTGTCTTAACTAGTAAAAGTATTGGTGATACAGCGTTTTCTTAGAAGGAAAATTTTAGCAGTAAAATTTATTTGGCTCTTAATCCTGTAGAGCAAGCCTTCTTTGAAGTTCTGGTTCTAGACTGTTGGTAAACATTTCTGCTTCACCAGCTTTCCCACCATCACCTTTTGTCCCTAGAATTAAGAAAAGTGCTGTATTCTTACCACTAGGATATTCTTCAAACCTTTGAACATCCATTCTTTAAGTTTTGGGTATATGCAGGCAATGACAGATCAGGACTGCCTCCTGTCCTGGCTGCAAAGGACAGTAAGAAGCCTCCTGATTTCAGAATGTAAAAATGTGGGGGGAATAGGAATCATAAAATGACATATGATAGTACCTAGGCAAAACAGAATCAAGAAGACAGATATTATCAATTTGGTTTTGAAGAATAATAGTATTTTCTAAAGCCAAATGTGAAGGATTTTTAGATATCTTGGGGAGTTTCAGTTTTTTGTTTTCCATTTGTTTAGTTTATTTGAGGTTTTTTTTAAATATTATTATTGTGCTTTGGGTGCAAATTTACAGAGCAGAATTTGTTTTACATCATTTGTTTAGCTTATTCATTCTTCTGGAGGAAGTTTTTTTTGTAAAGAAAAGTAAGTTTCAAGCAAGGGTTTGGGATGATGTAGAAGAACAAATCTTTTGGGTTTGGAGTAAGGGAAAAGGACAGGAAGGTGAAAACATGTATACACATTACATATTTTGCAAACCAGAAAGGGGATATTAAATCTGTTAAACATACTACAATAAAACATTGCTTATGGTGATCTTTGTGCTTTGCAAATCTTAACATTTTCAAAACTATTTTTCCATGTATAGAAGGTATAGGAAAAAATATGGAACCTATTGCTGTTGAGTCAATTCTGACTCTTAACAATTGTGTAGGACAGAGTAGTCCTGTCTCATAGGGTTTCCAAGGCTGTAATCTTTATGGTATCAGACGGTCACATCTTTATCTTGTTCAGTGGCAAGTTGGTTTTAAACTGTTGCCTTTTTTTTTTTTTTTTTTTTTGGTTAGCAGCCAAGCAGTTAATCATTGAGCCACCAGGGCTCCTATAAATATAGAAGTGTAGGAAAAAGTTCATACATTTTTAGTAACAGTTTACTGTTAAATTTGCAGAGCAACTTATAAAATTTTAATACTTGCTCAGTCTATGCTGTATTTTGTGGTGACCCTAGTGTTAACAGAGTAGAACTGGTTTTCTTGGCTATACTCTTTTTAGAAGCAGTTCACCAGGTCTTTCTTACATAAACTGCAGGGTGAGTTCAAACTGCCAGCATTTAGCCTAGTAGCCACTCACCATGGATCAGAATTGAATTGAGGACAATGGGTTTGATTCTTTGGTTTATGCTATATTTGTATAAATGTATAATTTGTTGATGTGGCAGATTCAACTTGAATTTTTTTGTCCATACGTGATTAGCCTGAAGCAAGACATTCTAAATGAAAAGACTGCATTGGAAGCAACCCTTGAAGAAGCTGAGATGGCAACCTGTTCTGTGGAATTACTTTTGCCGTTGTTTAAGGATACTATTGAAAAGATTAGTTTTGAAAATGTGAGTATTTCACTTGTGAACATTTAATAAAATGGAAAGCTAGTATAATATTCAGATGGATAACTGAAGTCATTTCATATGTTAGATAGGTATGCCCACATACTGGTAACTCATACCAAAAAAAAGAGAGTTTATCAGTTTCTTTATTTCTATATCATTAACTATAATCTAACTCTTACTTTTAATGTTGTGAAAATTTAATCTCAGGCAAGTACTTGAGAAGAGGTTAAATAAGAAACTGTCTTGATGCTTGATTTACACAGAGTTGAATGAGAGTCAGCTTTTCTCAAAAGTGAATTGAAAATGAAAATATTCTCAGAGATGAAATATATCTATTTTCTATAGTGTTATGGGGAGTTGAAAATTCTGTATTCTAAAATTTCAACATACTAAAGTTTGAATTCATCACAAAAAGTGGATTATATTTTCTTGCTTTTATTAGAATAAATGCCTGAAATACTTTTAAAATTTAAGCCCTTGATATGAGTTTATTTTCATTTCATTTTACTTTGATATGCTGTTGATCCCATTTACTGTTAATACACTTAGCAAATTTTATTATCAACATGTGCAACAGAATGCTTTTGTTATTAGGGAAAATGGTTCTTTGATAATATTATTTTTAGAATGTTTTACTTAATTTCATGTCTTAAAATGTGTACATGGTTCTTTTGTCAGGCTAATCTTTCAGCATCTGATTTGAAGAAGATTTTTGAACAGAAGGAAATACTAACAAAAGAATTAGATACCTTTAAACGTGTAAAGCAAGCATTAGAACATCTGCTTATAAGGAAAGAATATAAACAAGTAAGGCAATAACACTAGCACTCATTTAATACTGATATTTCTCCTTGAAGGGTATGTTATTAAACTGTTGAAGTTAAAATATTGGTATTATGGATTGGGAGGAGTCAGCAGCAGGCATCCAGGTGAGGAGAAGGGAACCCAGGCCACGCCCCACAAATGACAAGGCGGGAAAGTGGGAGAAAGGAGAGGAAAAGGCCAGGGGACTGGGACAGAGTGAGGAGTCAGCCGCAGGGATCCAGGTAAGGAGAGGGAACCCAGGCCATGACCCACAAGTGGCAAGGCGGGAAAATGGAAGAAAGGAGAGGAAAGGCCAGGGGGACCAGGACAGAGCGAGAAGTCAGCCACAGAAATCCAGGTAAGGGTGGTTGGAGGGTTTCCAGCAGCTAAGCGAGACAAACTTGTCTATCGGTTTGTCCTACTGTGGTGACATGTTGCTGTGAGTCTTGAGTCTGTGCCACTGGTGTTTCAAATCCAGCGGGGTGCACGTGGTGCACAGGTTTCAGCCCGGCTTGCAGACTGAGATAGACTAGGAAGAAGGAAGAGGCCATCCACTTCTCAAAGAATTGGTCAGGGAAAACCTTATGAATAGAAGAGAAACACTGTCTGATACGTTACTCTGCAACTTTATGAATAGTCTGGAAACATTGTCCAATACAGAGGAGGAGGATGAGTCACTTAGATTAGAAGGCTCTCAAAATAGGACTGGGAAAGAGCTGCATCATCAGAGTAAAACCAGACTTACTCATATGGATAAGGTAAAGTTTTGAGACCTCCATTTGCTGATGTGGAACCATTCAAATTGAGGAGAAACAGCTGAAAGCAACCATTAATCATCGGAACATGGAATGTACAAAGTATGAATCTAGGAAAATTGGAAATTGTCAAAAATGAAACAGAAC